TCTCTTTTTTTTTTTTTTTTTTTTTTTTGCACAGAGAGCTTCCCTGCAGACATTGTTTTCTGCACAGAAAATACTGCTTCCTGTGCAGGAAAGCATTTTTCTTCATTGAAAATGAGTTTGGGGGCAAAAAAAAACTGCAGTATCTCAGGATATTCAAATACGAAGCGGATGCTGCAGAGAAATGTCCGTTTTCTCCCATAGTGGGGAGAAACTGCCATAGTTATTCATAACTATGAATAGTCTCGGTCTTATTCCTCTGCTTGCAGAGGAAATCCACTTCTGAGCTCCTTTGTACAGCAAGGCTGTAATCTCAATTATGTAGGAGGATGTTTCTGATTTACACCTTTTGGAAAGCTAGCTTTCAGAGCTGTATGGGGAATACCGCAAGCAGAAGGACTAAACTGCCAGAGGCAGGAGCCAGAGCAGCGATTAAAATGCTGTGTTTAAAGAGAGTTTTGACAAGCCGGCTTTCTGTATATTTCGGGGATACAGTTATGTTCTCCCAAAGGAAGAGCAGAGGCTATGTAATATTCCGGACCTGTTCCACCCTTAAATCTCCCTTGCTTTCCTTTGCTTGTTCCCTGCAGTCCATCATCGGCAAAGCTGACAATTATAACCAGGGAGCCAGCTACTATGGGGCATCTTGAAACCCCAATGTTGTTGGGGTTTTTTTGTTTTGTTACTGCATCCTCATTTTAGCACCTGACAAGCTTGCTTTAGGACTTGATAACAGTATTGATTGAGGCTCGGCACTTAAACCTTTACCAATGAGAAGAAATATGACCGTTGTTCCAGAGCTCTCTGAAAAGATGGGTATGAAATAGGCTGGGTGAAATAATTTGTTCCCAGTGCTAGTCTGTTCCCAGTGTTTATATCAATAGAGATGACATTTTCAGCTACTGGCTGAGCAGAAAGAAGATACCATCCAGGTTTCATTGGATTTTTTATTTTATTTTTGGAGAGGGGAGCAGTAGGATGGCTTTAACAAAATGGCCTCCTCTGAAACAGTTCTGATGCATGTTAATGTAATGGCTAAAGGGTTCCTCTTGGCTCTTAAGAATCAAAACCTTGAATGGTAGAGTAATTTATTTCTGGGGGTGTATCCACACTGCAGAAATAAAGCAGCTTGGCACCACTTTAATTGCCATGACTCTATTCTACAGAATCATAGGATTTCTAGTTTTGTAGGGCAACAGAGCTCTCTGATAGGCCAGGCTGCATACCTCACCAAACTACAAATCCTATTGGATTTCACAGGAGAAGACGTGACCATTCAAGTGCTGCCAAAGTGCTTTATTTCTGCAGTATGGAAGACCAGTGGGAGGGGAGACAAAAGGCCCAGGTTGTAAAATTCATGGAATAAAAGCCAGGAATTCCCCCCCACCCCA